AAAAAAAAAAAAAAAATTACTAACTACATTTCTTGAGTAATCCAATATGTTATCTATTAGTTAATCAGATATTTTATTATTCATAAATATATAGATATATCTGCCCGCCATAACTATATTTTCTTTATCGAGATTGTGATCGTTCTTTTGACATGGAAACAAATTTTCATACATATATACTTTTTTTGTCAATTTGTCCAATTAACTAATCAAGCCCTTGGAGGAGCTTTTTTATTAGCTTGTGAAAACCGTATTATATTTGGAGGCAAATTCTCGCAGAAATGATTATTTGATACAATTTTTGTTTCGTTTCGTTTTCTGTATTTTTTACAATCAGAATGATGCAAAAGCTATCCCTAGCATGAATATACAAAAGGCATGGGCAAAGGGCTATACTGGGAAGGGAGTAGTGATTGGTGTTGTTGATGGTGGTGTTGACATAACGCATCCTGATCTGTCAAGCAAAGTGGTAGGTGTCAGTTTCATGTTTGCTAATGTAAAGTAAAGATAGTCATCTGCTTTATCCGTCTGTTCTATCTGTAGTATCTGTAAAATCATCAGTCAATTTGTTTCGATAGACTTTTGTTTCTGCATAGGGTACCTATGATATTTAGTCATGACTATCTCCTAAGATGTTTCAAATTTGCTTTAAACTCTGCTTGAAGTTGTTATTTTGATTTACTAATGTTATTTTGTTAGGCTACAATATATCATAATAGTCCAATCAATCTATGACTAGTTTGCCCTAACTATAGGCTTAAAATAATCACATATGAATTTTAAACTTATTAAGGGAAATCTTAATATGTTTAATTGATGTCTTTTTCAGGATAAACATTTGAGTTATGATTTCATAGAAAATGACAACGATCCGTCTCCTGCTAGTCATGAAAGGTAAATAAATTTCAAACTTTGATAAGTACGGAAGCTAATCCCATAGGAAACAATGCCTAAAAATAGATTCCAACGTTTGTAACATTGGCAATTGTTTGAATATTTGACTAAAGTGAGATGAATAATATTATGATACTGCATATGTATTTATTCATAACACAAAAAATTGAATCCTTAATTTTGTTTTACAGTCATTGTTTATAGATAAAACCTATGAGAGTTGATATTGCTGAATGTGATATTTCTTACATATCCCAGAGTGTGTTGCTTTGATGTAAAGGAAAAAGTATATTGAATAATATGATATGTTCTTACTAAAATTTGAATTTGTGAGTCATGGAACAAAATGTGCTGGTATCGCCGTCGCAGCTAGAAACAATATGAACTGCATAGTAGGAGCTTCATTTGGATCAACATTTGCCAGTAAGTATATGTATTTAAACAATGCAGTTATAAACACTTGCAATTGGTTTAACTATTATTCATGTTAGTATCACTTCAGGAAAATTCGTGTGAAACCATCGTATTATTATCCAAAGTGAGGAGATATCTCATTTAACTTCCATGGAAAAATATAGAAAAATGTCACCGTTTCATAGACCATCTACGGCATTTGATATCAAGTATAAACTACCTTAAAAAGGTTTTTTGGTAAATTTTGCAATATACTTTGAAACCTTAACCTTATCATATATTATTTTATCATGTTTAATGACTAAGATATTTCATTTAAAGATTTAAGAATATCCGATGGCTTTGGCTCAACATCATTGTCTCAATCAAGGGCTTTGAAGTACAAATATGCTGAGATACACATTTATACAAACAGTTGGGGAGTTATTGATGGACAGGGATTTGAACAACAACCACCAATCGTTGCTAATGCGATTACTGAATCCATTCAAAAGGTACATCTTAAAAAAGATTCTCATCATATTCTATCACTTGTTATTTCTTTAAAATAGTTCATCAGCTCATCTAACCCGAAGGGCCTTTAGAGTTTATAAAACGTCGGCGTCCCTTGTGTCGTCCGTCGTCATTCTTTTAAACAATTCATGAACTGTTGAAAATATTAGCAAAACATCTTTCTATACAGCTATTTTCTGGATTTTCTCATAAATATATTTTAAACACAAGATTTGACAAAATTCTTTTGAAAATATGCTATAATCAGAATTATCACAATTTTTGTAATGTACTTGCTATTTGGTGACTAAAAGGCAACTATCTTTAAAAGATGGTTTATGGAAATGAAAGACTGAATTTTTAGCCGGAGTTTGTTTCGTGAAGTTAAAAAAAGATTATGCTTTATTCCTTAAAAATATTCATTAATACTCAAACGATGTTAAGAATGAACAGATATTCTACTAACGGCTATTTAAAACTGTTTAATACACATTTGCATTAACAAAAACGACAAAATGTTTAATAACCTCTTTATTGCAATAAACTTATGATAATAAGAGTTCAACAGAAAGTATCATTTACCAATTCCAAAACGAAAAACAAATCATCACTTTAGTTTTAATTGAAATATGAAGAGAAGATTTGTCAGATTGATACGTTAAATGAAAATTTTCTTATAATTTCAAGGAAAAGAAAAAGAGGTTGTTTCTGACGATTGCATTTCATGTTCTAAAAAGAAATGTTCAATAATTCGCACAGAGGTTAAACTTCATGATTTATTAATTTTACGAAAAGTTGTATGCTCAGTTTTCACATTTATTTCAAACGAAAGTGTCGAATAATTATTCCATTGATGACTTTATTTTTAAATTTTGGAGCCGAAAACCACTATTGCAATTAAGCATTCACATTTTCTTAATCGCAATTTTATGATAAAATACATCAAAACATTTGTTAATTCCATCAAAATGGGAATATTGAGAAATTACTGGACCCAGATAATGGCATTAAAAGCATTTATCTTTAAATCTGGAATAAATTTATGAGGTAATTTTTCTTACATTTAAAAAAGGGTTGCTGACGTTTTAAAATGGTAAGCACAAAAACACGTAATTTGTCAATGCTGCTTTCAAAGACTTGTCCTTTTAACCTTGTGATAGATTTTAACAATGATTATCGTAGGGATTTAAAATTTCACTATTTGGATAAGGGTTTTTAACTCTCCAGAATGCTGAAGGCGTCGTTAGAAAGGGCTAAAAGTTCGCCCCAACCTCTGGGAACTTGTTCGGGTGACAATTATAAAAGCGCTCGAAATGTCAAACTATGACAATATTGCTGGTGTCCGCCCCGCTCCTGGAGACTTGATATTAGCGTCATAATGTGTAAATAGATATTCATCTCCTTACTCAATAATCATACTTGTATTATAAACATTGTCCTTATGTGGTCTTAGTCCGAAGGCCATTTCAAAGACTCGGTATTCTCATCATAAAACCATATTACTTTGTATGTGCATCTAGCGGTTAGGAGGGATTTACGATTTTGGTATGTATCCACACCTGCAGACTTATATGTAATACTACTTTTAATGAGGATATTTTTACCGTGAATGCTTAAATATCCCGTTGCAAGAAACAGTCATCTTTCTCATTTTAGGGTAGAAACGGTCGCGGATCGATATTTGTATGGGCCAGTGGAAATGGTGGCAACACTGATAATTGCAATTGCGATGGTTATGCGAAGTCAGTCAACGTTATATCCATTGCAAGTTTAACAGAAAATCAATATGCTGGTTATTACTCAGAATACTGTTCGGCGATTCTGGCATCATGTTATAGCGGCGATGATGTCCATTATGATATCGTAAGTTATAGGTTATCATACTATGATTACTTAAATGATTACTCTGTATTATTTATGATATAATAAAATACACCACTTCATAAGCAAGCATTGATGAAATAGAAACTCAAAATTTCATCACGGAAAAAAATCATATGTAATTAAGAAGACACAAAATAGATATCATGAACGTACTCAATACAACATTAAACGTAGTGCTTATAAAAAGAATACCATAACTATTGGTTGTTAAAGATATAGTTAATAATATTTACAGAAGAAATTACAAATAAATATTTATGTATATATATATATAT